ATATGCAATTTCTATAGATTATGTCATTTATGTAGAGCAATGTTCTTTAGCTTCCTTTTATTCAGATACAGTACATATAATTCTTTATCACAATAGGTTCTATGGAAGTACAGAGAATTTATTTAGGCTACAAACTTCACTGTGTCATTTACTATCTCTCCAGAGACTGTTATGGAAGACTGAGAATCAAGCAGTTGTTGTTGTCCTGAGCTGATCTATCTGAGTTTAAATCTTGGCTGTACTGTCATTAGCTATGTTAGTTTTTAGGCAAATTAATTAAACTTTCTGTGCAACAGTTATTTCACGTGAAGAAAAGGGCTAATGATTGTGTTTTTATTTTCTTTAGAGAATTAAATTAGTTAATATTTATCAAGCGCTGAGAAATGTTGTCAGTCAGATAGTAAATGCCATGTTAATGTGACCTGTTGTTCTTATCATTTATGTGCAAGACTAAAAATTAGGTCAGCATTCTCACAGTGCAACAGGTCACCTTGTCATTATGTTTCTTTTAATATCATAGCATATATTTCATCATAACAAGTAAGAATTTTGGTATAAGGAAAGCCATTTTGAGTATTCCAAATAACATAAATAGTTTAAAGCTGTTTTCTATATAATATTAATTTTTGGTTAGAAGAGTTTAAAGTTCTTATGTAAAATGATATTTTTTCCTATCTTTCTACTAGGTAATTGATCTGGGTGGTGAGGCAATTACAAGCAGTGAGTACTTTGGAAACGGCCGTGTGACAGAATTCAAGTATGGTGCAAAACTAGGCACAGTTATTCGCAAATGGAACGGAGAGAAGATGAGTTACTTAGTGTAAATAAAATATATTTTGTCCTTTGAATTATTTCACAGGGCTGTTAGTCATATTACCCCAATATGGGTTATCTTCTTAGAACCTTCCTATTTAGAAAACTGTCAGGTCAGTTATTAATTTAAATGTTATAGTGTCGCAAACCCCAATTGATCATGTTATATATTTAGAATGTCAGTCACAAGAAAGTATGCCTAGAAACCCAAAATATTACCAAGGGATTTTAATCTGTATATGATATTAGTATACTAGATTTGACTAATGTTTGCATATGATCTTTTAAAGCCAGATTATTATGAAAATAATCACGCTATTTATAAAGTACCTAAAATGTGACCATGCTGTAGAATTTACATATATCAATTAATTAATTTTAAATATTGAAATGTTTATAACAATACAGTCTTGAAGCCTATTTCAATCCAGGTTGCCATTCTGTATAATGTGATATGGATGCTGACCCTTCTAAAGTCCATCTAAATTATAATATACTGAAACCTCTAAAAGGACCTTTTTTTATAACAAAAATCTAAAGCTGTAACATGAATGGAATACAAGTAATCCATACATATAT